GGCAGAGATGAGTGAGTGCCTCCTGTGCTGCCTCACTTTCCTGAAAGACCTCAATTCTTATTCCATCAATTCCTGGTGCCTTGTTCTTTGCCAACATTAACACAAACATTAACACAAAGAAATGAAGAAAACCCACTAACAAAATGAACTCAGTGCAGAAAATTATGTGGAACAAAGAAACAAACAACACCACACAAAAAAACACAAAACGAAATGATGACAATCAATTCATATCTATTGATAATTACACTGAATGTAAATAAATTAAATACTCTAGTCAAGAGACAGAGAGCAAAATGAGTTTAAAAACCCAGGATCCTTCAATGCGTAGTCTACAAGAGACCCATTAAAAAGATAGAGACAGCCGAAATGTCCTTCAACAGAAGAATGGTTTAACAAACTAGTACATACACATGATAAAATACTACAAAACATTGAAGAATAATGATGAAATATGTGAAATACCTAACAACATGGATAATCCTGGAAGACACTATGCTGAGTGAAATTAGTCAATCACAAACAGACAATCATTGTATGAGATCAACGTTGTGAAAAGTTAAGAAAAGGTTTTCTTAATAAAAAAAAAAATCAACGATGGTTATTGAGGGAGGGAAAATTATTCATAGACTAGAGGGTAGACGCATGTTAACATGGCTGACAAAGCAGGCAATATACAACATGAGGGAGGTTAGCAGAGGAAAGATGAAAGTAGTGGGAGACACAGGGAGAAATGTACTAGTTAAAGTGAATAGAGGTAAATACTATTAATTGTTGGTACATAAAGGAGCTTGCAATCATTGTAATGAAGCTAATTGTATGATTTGTTGAATGTCAAAGTGATGATCTGCTCTGTAAACCTTCACAGTATTTAAAATGAAAAGTTTTATTTTAAAACAGAGAATAATATATTTTTGCTGACAGAAACCAAATATTTTTCATTGGTTTCACAGGCTAGACTGAAATTGATACCTAAAATTCTAAAATTAGAAAAGAATGGAGTCTCTCTACCCAGTCTTCTCCTTTCACAAATGAAGGAACAGGAGACAAGAGACGGCCCAAGGTGACTTGGGGCACACTCTGGAACTAGGACACCAATTTCCTGGCAAAGGACTTACTCCAGTGACTAAACTATTTCAAAGGATATTTCCTGTACTGTTTAATAAAACAGTACACATCAGTACAGTGCAGTAGTTATTAAAGTCATCAAAGGTATGTGGGCAATAGGTTTAAAAATTCTTTCACAGTAGAATTACAAGTACTGGCTTTGGAGTGTTCCTGCTTGCTCTTCCATTACATACACTCCATCTCTACAGAAGGAGGAGTGAACAGAGAAGTGTTCTGACTAGCTACTGCATTAAAAAAAAAGAACAAACAAGATGGCAGATCGGGTGGACGTATAGCAGAGAGCTCCACCAACAATAACACAGAATACCTGACCAAGCAGGCTCAGGGGATGGTCCCAGAACTCTGAACCACATATAAAGGAATACTTAGAAGGTTGGAAGGCTCACAGCTGGAGGAATTTGTGGCAGAAGCAAGAAATCCATTGCTTTCTAGTCTGGGACGCTTGGCTGCTCCAGGAGCCGCCAACTTGGGTGAGACCACGTGTGGAAAGGATCAGAGCGGCCACAGACACCTGGCAGAACCACTGAGATAAAGGTGGGGGCATTCTTTTCTTTTGGTATCTGTTCATTGGTTCCTTGCTATCTATGCACCTCCATTCTGGTGACTATAGGGTTGCCTGAGCTAATGGGCACCCCAGCCCCACCCTCGGAGGGTTCTACTACGCATGCGCACAGATCTCCTCGAAATTTGAAGAGATAGTTTCCAATTAAAACCAAATAGCCACAGCTGGCCCTGGACTGTTTCCAACTAGAAAAAAAGCCTGAATGAGGATTGTGGAGCAGGACAAGCAGAAAAAAGAGGAAATAGGCCGAACATTAAATCCTAAGTTACGTTAAAATGACCAATAGTGGTATCTTGAAACTTCTCAGGAAGAAGAGTGAAAAGGGAAGCCCATTTCCTGATCACATCT